GATAAAATTTTTTAAAATTATTATTAATAATAATGAATAAATTCTTTTTTTTGAAACAAAAACTACACCACATCACAACATAACCAGTATAATCTAAAACTACACTGGTGCATCTAAGGTAAACAGAACCAAAGATAATACTACCACAACATTCACAAATGATTTGACAAGAAATATTTTCCTAAAAAATCATCCAAACAAAACATTATTAAAATCAACATCGAAAAAGGAATATTAAAACCAAAATTCACAATTCCAGAACCATTTGGCTTACAACCAAATAGTATACCACTTTATGTTGATTTTAATGCAATGTTACTAACATTTTTACCATTAAACTAGATGATGAAATTATACCTTAAATTCATCAGACCCTACCACTATTATCTACCAAAAATTAAACCTACCAATTTATTTACCACCAATAAATGATTCATTCGAAAACGAATGTTCACATTTATTTATTACCACTTTATTTTTCTTTTTTTTTATTTTTCATTTTTCTTTTTTCTTTTTTTTTTTTTTTAAAACAATATATCATTTTATTCTAAATAAAAGATATATATGGCATCTGTACATATCCATAGTCAACCGAAAGGATTAACAAGACTCTACTCCAATGCACTAAAGTTATACCGAGCTGTATACGTGCTTTTTAACTGGATAGAAGGTTTCCTTTGCAAGGAAACACTAACCCAAGGTTCTCCGTACAAGATGAAACTTATGCTATGCTAAACTGCCAAGGGCTGTAATGTTTAATTCAAATTCTATTAGCTAAGATGCGGGCATCTTTTATGAAGTAACACTACCTTAAAAGAAAGTTGGATCTCCGGAAATTTATTATTCTTGCAATAATAAATTAAGTTACCTCAGAATAATTCAATTTATTCAACCAAATTGCAACGGTTTAATTTTGCTTCAAGAAATATCTGGTCAATTCAGATACTTAGGTCTTATAATTAATAAAATAATAAAATGGAATAAACATTCCAATATATTTTTAAAAAGCAAAAAAAAGCTAAGAATCCAATAATACACAAAATTGTAATAAAGTGCACTATGCACAACTAAAGCGTGAGGTGACCAACTTTAGCAAAAGGGAAATTTCTTAATTTATAATATTAATTTTAACTCCTACTTTATATGTTCAAACCTTATGGGTCATATACATGAACTTGTTAAACTGCCCCTGGGATCCTTTATAAAAAATTTTACTTTTTAAATAACGAGTTTGGAATCGCTTTTAAAAAGTATTGTTTATTTGTTATATTTTGTTTTACTACTAAATCTATATAGAGCTTCATTACATTAAACTAATTTTATTACCCTATTAGGTTTGAAAGCACAAATTTAATAGCAACACTTTTCAAATAATTGGCCATTATAAAATAATTATAAAATTTAACAAAATAAACTATATAAATAAAATAAATATATTTATTTAATAAAAAATAGGGTTTTTATTTGTTTTTTTAATATATATTAATTAATGTGGTGGTTGTTGGTTTTGGAATTGTTGTAACTGTTGAGGATTAAAGAATTGTTGATTTTGTTGTTGAAATTGTAACTGTTGTAACTGTTGAGGATTAAAGAATTGTTGATTTTGGAAAACGTTTTGTTGAGGTTGTTGCTGTTGTTGTGGTTGCTGTTGTTGTGGTTGCTGTTGTTGTGGTTGTTGCTGTTGCTGTTGCTGTTGCTGTTGTTGTTGTTGTTGTTGTTGTTGTTGTTGTTGTTGTTGTTGAGGTTGTAGAGGCTGTTGTTGAATAAATTGTTGCTGAAATTGTTGGTTTTGTGGTTGTTGTAATTGATTTTGAATTGGTTGTTGATATTGTTGTAATGGATTTTGTTGAAATTGTTGGTTTTGTGGCTGCTGTGGTTGTTGTGATTGTTGTTGAGCCTGTGGTTGATTTTGTTGTGGTTGTGGTTGTTGTTGTAATTGATTTTGTGCAAATTGTAAAGTATTTGGTTGCGGGATATTATTCTGTTGGGTTTGTTGCTGATGTTGAGGTTGATGCTGGAGCTGCTGTCTTACTTTACTAAAATAGCTATTATATTGTTCAATGTTGGTTTGTTTTAAAAAATTAAGATGTTGAATTAGTTGCTCTCTATTTTGTGGTTGCACAAATTGTTGTGGTTGTGTTTGTTGTGTTTGTTGTGGTTGTTGTGGTTGTTGTGTTTGTTGTGTTTGTTGTGGTTGTTGTGGTTGTTGTGGCTGTTGTGGCTGTTGTGTTTGTTGTGGCTGTTGTGTTTGTTGTGTTTGTTGCGGCTGTTGGGGTTGTTGTTGAGCTTGAGGTTGTTGTTGAACAAATTGGGTTTGTGCAAATTGTAAAGTATTTGGTTGTTGTGGATTTGGGGTTTGTTGTGTTTGTTGGTTTGTTTGCTGTTGTGTTAATTGTTGCTGTTGTTGGAACAATATACTCAAATTGTTTTGAATTTGGAGTAAATTGTTTTGAATGTTTTGAATAGTATTGCTAATAATGTGATTTTGTGGCTGCTGTTGCAGTTGTTGTTGACAAAGTAATAATTTTTGTTGCAAACTATTCCTATTATTAACTGCCATTTGGATACTAAGTTGAACCTTTTGTAGTGGGGTTTGAGGTTGTTGTGCAACAGACCCAGGATTTGATTGTTGGTTTATTTGTGTTTGGGCCTGTGCTTGTGTTTGAGTTTGGGCCTGTATTTGGGCTTGAGTTTGAGTTTGTGGCTGTGGTTGGGTTTGGTTTTGGGTTTGTGATTGGGGTTGGGTTTGTGTTTGTGTTTGTGTTTGTTGTGGTTGTGTTTGGGTTTGTGTTTGTGGTTGCGGTTGTATTTGGTTTTGGTTTTGGTTTTGTGATTGCGGTTGTGTTTGTGCTTGTTGATTCGCAAGTTGATTTAATTGGGCTTGATTTTGCTGTTGTTGCATAATTAATAACTTAAGCTCATTTGTTTGCTGTTGATTTAATGTACCTTGTTGTTGCTTTTGATGGAGGCTTTGTATAAGTCTTGAAAACTGTTGTTGTTGTTCGAGAAG